TATGGAGGATACAGGAATGTGACGGCCCAAAATGCATGGGGACAAATTGCGCAAGCTATTCAGATACATCCTTTGAGATATCAAAACGTGCCTCCGCAACTCAAGGCTCTATATGAGAGAAATCTTCTTGCGTTTGAGGAGGCTTTTCAATCCAATATGCAAAGGCAGAGAGCAGCCGCAATGAAGCAGGGAGGTGCCATCGGTGTCCCCCAAATGTCGCCCACTAAACAAATGCCTCAATCAAACTCTATGCAAGCATCGCATTACATGCAACAGCAGATCGCCCAACAGCAACATCTCCAGCAGCAACAAACTACCCCCATGAAGCAAATGACACCTTTACATCATCCTCAACAACCTGTCATGAATGGTTTCTCAACTCCACAAGCCCCGCCTGTACATCCTTTAGGATCTCAAAGCCATGCTCGAAACAGTCTCTCGAGGAGTGTCGAGGCCACCCCGCCGCAGAATACCGGTATATATCCAATACCGTCTCCAGCCTCAATACCCAAGTCTGGCAGTATATCATTGGCATCGCCTCATCCTAACATGGTGCCGGCAGTAGATGAGCAAAATCAAGATGAACTAATGAACGTAGTCCTTCCTGAGAAACTGAAGGTCTTTTCACGGATTCCCGATGAAAATGGGGGCTCTCTCGACCTCGAGGTTCTCCGTGGCGAGGGGACTTCCTTGTTGAAATTAAAGCCAGATTTTCCACCATTGACTGAAATCGGCACCATCGACGTTCATGCCTTAACCATGAGCCTTCAATCCGGACTACATGCCGAAGTCCGTCTGGCTTTAGATACTCTGGCCCTGGTGTCCTCGGAACAACGGCTACCAATTGAGTTGATGAAATGTGATGATTTGGTCGAGACACTGGTTGATTGTGCCGAGGATCAGGTTGAATTGTTAGCCGAAAATGCGGCAGAGGTATCAGATATGATGCTCATAAATTCATACGAAGATGTCGTCCGCGCCTGTCAGGCTGAGAAGCATGCCGTACAAGATATCCCACCTTTTGGGTCGGAGGAATATCAGGTCGACCGAGCAGTCGAGAAGCTGATCTGCATAACCAGTATTTTGCGGAACCTTTCATTTCACGAACCAAATCTTTTGTTCCTTGCAGAAGAGTTTGTTATTAAATTCTTCTGCGTGGTAATACGGTATCTGGGAACTCGAAATATGCTACTTAGGACCAACCAGAACACGCTCGAGTTTATGAAAGACGGTGTTATTTTACTATCAAACATAGCACATGAGATTAAGTTACCTGGTCGCGAGCAAGCATTGTGTTTATTGCATTTCCTACTAGCATTCGCGCCCTGCCCGTCCCCAAACGTAATGGGATCCGATAAAATCACGTTTTCGCAGTACGACCCAAGAATTCATTATTACATCTATCCTGCTGTTGATAGTCTTGCTAAGCTTCTTGCGCGGGATGAACCAAACCGAACCCATTACAAAACGATCTTTGCCTCTGACGTGTCTTCGTCTCCACCCTTTGACCTTCTGACAAGAACATTCGCTCTGTCCATCTCGGTGATACCTGATCAGCAAAAAGACCCCAAACGGGGAACCTTCCTACCTCTGGTTGAAGCACGAAAGCCAATGTTGATGCAAGGCATACTCGCTGCAGAACTTCTTGCACATCTTGCACCAGGATACGACAGTGGCATTGCAAAAGCTTGGTTAACTTCAGAGGATGGGTTTGCGAAGAACCTTTCACACCTTGTATTAACATTATGTCATGAAGCTCCACAAGGTCCATCGCATGGCAGAGTTTCTGCCGTACCTAAAACGGCAGAGGAAGAGGCAATGTTACAAATAGTCCTTGGTGGAATTGGAATATTACGCCGACTGGCCGAAAAGTCACGAGACCCCGAAGACCCGACCTCTATGATACCCATACCTGGAATGCCAACGACGGAACGAATAATAAAACTACATGAACGCAAACAGCCTAGGCTGAAAGAGGCATTGCGACAATTGTGCACTTTTACAAGTCTTGGCTAAATAGTGGTTGGGTTTTCATCAATGTATTAAGGTTCATAGACGCATGAATTAATAGCGTATGGAGTCGGCGTTTGTAATTTGATATATCTGCCTGCTAAGCGTGGCATTTGCTTGATGTCTGTGATTCTTGTGGTATGGTTGGTATTGGTTTGTGTACAAGAGGTGATGGGTTCTCTTGAAAAGTAAGAGTGTATTGTACATATAGGCATTGAGTGTGTAGAATGATAATCAAAGCAAATTATTGCTTTGAAAACAACTAAACCCGTATAAATTCTTTCTCGTCCATAGATGTGTTGCAAGTATCCCATTAAAAATGTCGCTCCTTGAGAAACTCCTTTACTTCCGGTTTGCACCACCCCTGTGATATGGTCAGTAAACTGATGGGTCAAACCTCTATAAAGACTACACAACATACCTTGATTGTGATATGCTTCGCCAATTGATTGACCCGGATCTCCTTGTTGGAGAATGCCTCTTCTAATTGCTCCTTCAACTTCATGATATCTCCTTCAATCTTTCGAATTTTTGTCTGCTTCAAGTTACCACCTGCTTTGGTGAGTGCATATACTGGCAGTTGTTTGGATGGCGTTCGAGATACATAGTACGGTTGATTCGGGGCTGTCGCAGGTGCAGTTTGTGAGGAGATAGGTGTTGAGGTTGAAATTGCTTCCTTTGTTGGGCTTGAGGAAGCGGGGTTCGTAGATAGTCTAGCAACACCAAGAAAATATCGTAAAGTGGTTGGTCTAGGCAAAGCCATAGGTCTGAGGAATTGTAGTGACATCGTAAAGGATATGAGGTTGTGAAGAGATTGATTTTTGATCAATTATCTTCCCCAAACTTCATTCGAGCGTCGCGAACTTCTCCAAGACAAAAAAGACGCTAATAATTTAAGCTACCCTCCGCTAGCGCGAAATTTTGTAGGCGGGCGCACACAATCATCAAATTCCGACATCTTTATCCTGCGAGAGCGTGAACCCCACCACTATTTCCAACCCACGACAGCACAATAGGATCGCAATCATGGCGGACAATACTCCCACGAATGCGAATGACCTTCTTAATGATGCTGCTCAAGCAGCGGCCAAGAGCCCCGAGGAAATCGCCAAAGAGAACGATCTCCTTCCTAAACTCATCACCCATCTCGACAGACATTTAATCTTCCCTTTGCTACAGTTTGTCGGTGACCAAGATGACGAGCCATCGACAGAAATCACAAAGGCAAAATTCGAATTGTTGAAGAAGACCAACATGACAGATTATGTTGCCAGTCTCCACTGCGAAATCGAGGGTGTGGATGAAGCACCAAAGGAATACGCGAATAAGAGACAAGAAATTCTTCAAAGATTAGAAATTTTCGGACAAGAGAGCGAGAAAATCACAGATTTGTTAGGCAGAGAGGATGTTGTTACTGGGCTGAGAAGCGACAAGGTTGCTAACTTGGAGTTCTTGAAGAAAGAGCATGATGTACGTATGGGAATTTTGTGTCACTGAAAATTCAACCTAACAAAGAGACAGGTCACAATTGAGATGGTTAATGTCTTATACGACTTCGGTAACTTCCAATACAGCTGTGGAAACTACGGAGCGGCTGCCGAACTCCTTTACCAATTCAGAGTCCTCTCCACCGACGATGACAAAGTCACTGCAGCAACATGGGGTAAATTGGCTTGTGAGATCTTGACTGGAAATTGGGAGTCCGCTATGGAGGAAGTCCAAAAAGTGAAGGAATCGATCGAGACCAAGCTCTTCAACAAACCTCTCGCACAACTTCATCACCGCACTTGGCTCATCCACTGGGCTTTGTTCCCATTCTTCAACCACGAACCCGCTCGTGATGTTATCTGCGACCTCTTCTTCTCCCCAGCATTCATCAACACCATTCAAACCGCCTGCCCATGGATTCTTAGATATTTGACTGCTGCAGTCATTACCAACCGTAACCGTACACGCAACACTGGTCAATATCAGAAACAACTCAAAGATATTATTCGTATTGTTAAGCAAGAGAACTACGAATACTCAGACCCCGTTACCGATTTCATCAAGGCTTTATACCTCGACTTCGATTTTGAGGAAGCACAAAAGAAACTTTCCGAAGCTGAGGAAGTTCTCCGTTCCGATTTCTTCCTCGTCGCCGCCTCTGAAAACTTTGTTGAGGCTGCAAGACATTTGATCAGTGAAAGCTACTGCAAGATTCATCAAAGAATTGATATCAAGGATTTGAGTGCAAGATTGGGTTTGAACCAAGATGATGGTGAAAAATGGATTGTCAATCTCATCAGAGATACCAGAGTTGACGCCAAGATTGATTACAAGGAAGGAACAGTTGTCATGAACCACCCACCAAGCAGTGTATACCAACAAGTAATTGAGAGGACGAAGGGAGGATTCTTCAGAACACAAGTTCTGAGCGCAGCTGTTGCAAAGTAAAGCGAATCTACACTTTAGGGGGTTGGAGAGAGGTTGGGAGCGTGGAAGCTGTTATCTAGGTCTCTCGTAATGGGTAGATGGGATCACGCATACTGAACGATATGTATATGGTCGGTCTGTTACGATCTGGTCTGGTCTGCATGGCTTTAAGCTGGCTGGCGTTTGGATTGGGGAAAATAAATAGCAAAAATGGAATGAGAACGAAATGATATAGTAGATTTCTGTCTTAGCTGTGCCCTGTTGACCCTCGAAATGTATGGGGATGATGAACGCAAGACATGATGGAAATAGAAGCATTGGGGGTTGAACAGATGTATTGAAAGCAAATGATTATATGAATTCGTTGTTTGCACGAATATATCACACATCTGGAACTATGTTTTGCTTAACGAAGTGTCTACTGAAGTGAACTGCCTCCTTTATATTTCCGTCTCTCTTTTGCACATTGTATTTGCATACTTTCCTGCTTCGGCAACTGGATAGGTCAAACGAATGGAACATTCAGTTATCGAGGTAGTCCTCATATTTCTGTTTCATTCTGAGTATTAGTAGACATGCAACAATTTTTCTGTTTGGACAGTCTGCTTTTGAATTCAGGGGGGTGGGCTGGTGGATAGATACTAGGTAGGCAACGCCCTCCTTTCTTGTTTGATCATGTAGGTGGCAGTTTGTGTGGTTGCTGCTACTAGCAAGATACACAATGCATGCTAGATTCTAGATGCTGAACCGAAATAGAACAAAGCAGTGCAGAGGAATTCGATTCTTTCAATCATTTTAGGGGTTCGTTGTTCTGCTCAACAAAGATACCTGTCTTTTTCATTCATCGCAATCCAATTGTTAAGTTTTCGTTATCTTTTGACAAAGTGGAGTTTGAGTACAATGAAATTAATAGAACAATAGCCTTCTTCCTTTAAAATGTATCTTGTGTCCCGAGTGGTTTTCTTCCTTTCCATTTTCTGAAGACCTTCTAAGTTATACATCTTATCTCCTATTTGCCTTTACGTTTATATTCACAGTCTATCACATATTATCTACACTAAACAATTCTCAAAACACACACATCAACATCAACATCAACAACCATCACACCCACAATCTTCACCGAATCCCATTCTGACATCTTTCCTTTAGTGCACACTCCATCGTTTACCGTTTCGCCCGAAGATGCGTTTGCTGTCCGGGGGAGCGGGGTTGGGTCGCCGGTTTCGCCTTTGAGTCCTGAGGTTTTACAATCTCAATCTCAAGAGCAAACTCCGTCTAAATCTGAATCTCGCGAACATATACACTACACCCTCGAAATCGCACCCGCGACTCCCGCCTCGGAACTCGAACCCCGCGCTGCAGCTATGTATACGCATTGGTATTTTGATCATCGGGCGGCGAATCACTATGTTGAGAAACATGTGAGTATGAGTGATGCGTCTGCGTTTACGATGATGAGTGGGGGGTTGGAGAGGAGGAGGAGGGGGGTGAAGAAAAGTGTTAGGAGGGTGAAGACGTGGATTCGGGAGAAGGCGGAGAAGAAGGAGAGGGAGAGGATGAAGAGGAGAAGGGAGAAGAAAGGGGAGTTGGTGGTCAAGGAGAGGGTTTTGGGGAGTGAGGAGGAGGGGGGTGAGGGGAAGGGGTTGAGAGGGAGGTTGGGAGCGGTGGTGAAGAGGGGGAAGGATGGTTTGAGAAAGTTAGTGTCCAGGGGGAAGAAGGAGAAGGAAGAGAAGGAGGAGTGGAGAGTTTTGAATAGGATTACGGGGTTTCAGACGATTGAGTAAGTAGACTGGTGAGTACTCTAGGTATGTGTTTGATTTTTCTTTCGTTGTTTCTTTCCTTCCTCTCTCTTTTTCGATTTTCTTCCTGCGTATTCGCGAGGTGTTAACTTGTTTGCTTTGAAGGTAAGTCATATATCATATATAATACACTATACGCATAAATGAGAATTTGTTTCTACTCCTTATTTGTGAACCATTGATGTGCTGTGTGATGAGTAAGATGTTACTTTGATTTTTGTCAGGAGTAAGTATTAATGAAATTATTTAACCTATATAGTACAAACCCTATTGATAAACAAGTGTATGTTCCAAAATAATGATATAACAACGAAGCGAGTGTTAACATTAGGAGGCTAATCCAGCTAAAAGAAATAGACGATCTGATCAGTAACATTCAATAACTAGGCCATCAATGCTCTCACAAATAATCCTTTTCTTCCATTATAAAACATAATAATCATTCATCACCAATCCATACCGAACTAATAGTCAAAATGGAAAGCCCAAAATCACAAGCATACTATTTGTCGCTCTTCAAAATACACCAACTTTACACATTCCCCTACCAAAAAGCAAAAGAAAAACATACAACAGTGGGGATTCGCTGGTGGTCACCCACCCAACTACTAATCCACCGATCTGAAGCTTGTGTATGGCAGAGCGGACGGGATGCCCAATTCTCTTCAGTCTATGGTCGTATGTGACAGAATGCCACAGAGTTGGGTATATATTGGAAGTGAATTTTCTTGGTCATTTAAGCGAGGGGTTGCACAAACGAGATTAGGTTTGGTTGGATTTTACCCTCAGTGTGGCTGCTGAACTTGAAATGTCTACTTTTGTTATGAGCTATGTTGTAAGGTATGTGTATAATATTGTTATTCAGATAAACCCAATTGTTTCTTTGTGGAGGGATAGTAAATAGTGAATGTCGTGAGAAAGAAAAAGAATTAGGAAACAATACCGCGGGTGGACTAGCCAATGCTCACTCCCATCGCGAAGGATATAGATTCCTCATCAATCTCCTTTGACTCTCATCCATATGATGAGATGTCTGTGCAAACTTAAAAAGTTTATTGGTTAACCAAGCTTGGTGGAGCACTAGCGGATTTGCTTTTTCCAGAAGTCTTTTAAAAATCTCCAACAGATTGCAGGTTTCCTCGAAATTCTGGCAATTCATGAACCCATAATCCACTTCCATTGTTGCATTTGGTGGAAACTCAGCGCGATTGTAAATGGCTACGAACTGTTTCAAAGACTAGATTGAAGGTTGTGGTCTAGAGGGGGACACTGACAGAAACCGTTCTAGGAACTTAATTTCTGATCGCATTTTTTCAGACCTTTGGAGTCTATGAGTTTGATTAATGTACTAGACTCATACGCATGCTAGAATTCCGGAGAGATAGCTGTTGGCAGCTCGAGACCATAGAACATGTGTTGAATGTTTCCTCGAAGGTCATCAAGAAGTTTATTCCCGAGTAGTAATCGTCTGTAGAGCACTCCAAGCGCGCGTTCCTCTTGCTCGTCGTTGCAAGTGCAAAAGCCGAAGTCGTACCAGTTCGTCTGGATTGGATTTGGATGCGCCATATGAAGAGCCGTTGCTAGAAGTTAATAGTATTGCATCTTGGCCTCGGGCTCTAATTGACTTGGCTGTTTATGCTGGTCTCTATTCAAATAAACTTGGGCTTGGCTATAAAATGTGGCTAGCATATTCTGGGTTGACTCCTATTGAGTTGATGGTTTCTCCAAAATATGTAAATTTCCCAGAAACCACAGAAAGTACCCTCCTCGGCTGGCTTCGTTGGTCCGAGAAAAGTATTTTTTGATGTTAGCGATAAGGGTACCCTCAACCTGCCACCTGTGAATGTCTTCGACAGGGACATCGCCGAGCCAAAACCCCTTATAAAGGCCCAAAAGCTTAGATCTATCGGCAAGTGACGACAGATGGCTGAAGCCAAAATCCTCAAGCATATCCTCTTCATTAGAAATGGTATCCTCAGATATATTTCTATAAAGATAGTCAGCCGAAGTGAGTGGTCGCTTGGCACACGTGAATATATGCGACCCGTGTATCTTAGTTTCTCATGATTCACTGCAATAGAAATATTTATTACAGGTACTGCACCGTCGCGACGTTACTCTAGAGCAGGTATTGCATTCACCGGATTGACTTGACTTCGCCAATGTGCCGCCCAGCGGATTTCCCCAGGTGGGCTTCAGAAAAGCGGTATTACTCTTTCCTACTCATAATCTGTTCGGGTCTCAGCTCTTGTATAGTAGTTTCACCAGCTGGAAGATTAATTTTTGATCCTTCTTACCTATTGAACAGCCCAGCAAGTCTTTCTTGCTCCATTTGTTTTTTCTTTGCTCTGTTACCAGGTGCTTACCAGACCTTTCAGCCCTGCGGTCACTGAATATGTTACTTCCACCAACAACAGACGTTTTTTCTAGTCGTATTGCTTTGTCGAAGTCCGACTTCAATTCTTTCTCAATATCCTTTTGCACTTGTACCACTGAATTTAGCTACCTTATCTGCCTGGCTAGAAGCTAGTCCTGTTGCCTCGGGTACTGTCCAGCGTTTGAATAGTCGTCCATGGCAACCCCTTGTACTAATCCTGCCATATGCTTTGAGGAAGTGCGAGCACATGAAACGGCTATACTTGCTGCAACCAAAATAGACGAATTATTGATCCAAAAATCGCTTATTCTTACTCAAAAACAGAACCATTTAATCTCAGCATGTATGTTAAGTGCCTGATTTTGCAACTTCCCGTACTCCCGCTCAGCCTTGGCAACAGTCCAGCTTGGCCTGATCACAGTTGCGACTGTCAAGGTGTCGGTCGGGAGACCAAGGAGATTCAAGGCCTCTCTTAGCTTGAGTGCACCCTTGAGCGCCTTTTGCGGTATCCTATCACCGGTCACTGGGATTATGGCAACATTGTTGAAACTTGGGAGCTTAAGAGAAACCTCTTCGAATTTCTCAAATATGACTCGAAGCCTCCCGAGAAAAACATATCAATCCACAGTTTTCTAGTTTGTTTCGTAGATTTCGGAGATGTTTGGAGAAACTCCTCGACGACCTTGCTTTTTCGTAATTCATATGCTTTTGTGACAAGCGTGCCATGTCTGTCGATCAACCTCTGACCCGCCTCTAGCGTAGCAAAGGTCTGATTTTGAAGGACCGAGAGTTCGTTACGTGCTCTAGCGAACTTATCGTTATTGTCATCGTTGAATACGGTGTTGCAATTCTTGAGGCTCAACCTCAGGTTCGGAATATAAGTGTCTTCGAGACGGTCTTCATAATACGCCAACATTTCATTCCAAAGTACCTCCTCGACTATTCGATTGGGCAAGTCTTGACAGAAAGTTAGATCAAAGTTTAATTACCGAACAGCTACCTTTTCCGTGGAACAAGCAGCTCAGCCGCTTGCTTAGCTTCTTGAAGAAAATATTGTCCACAATCTGAAAGCCTCCATTTCGGGTGATCTAAAGCGTCACATTCTCCTCGCCTTCCATCATACTAGAACATGCAACATATTTGCCGCCTTTTCTATTAGCAGTCAATTCCGCTAGGCAATCCAGGAACTTTGTTCTCAATTGATGATATCCTGAATCTGAGATCTGGTCATAATAGCTTGTGTCTATACTAATCGCATCGCTGTTGGTAGTAGACTCATTCTTGTCAGACAGCTCAGTGCCCAAGGAGACTGGCTCGACTTGTCCATCATTTCGGAGTGCAAGAAGGTTTGCGTAGGCAGTGAATTCTCGTTTATTAAGCCCTGAGAGATTCCAGTTAAAGTCTTGAATCATGATGCTGGACTTATCGATGATTTCTGTGAGCCATCTAATGAAGGTGTGGATTATAAATCATGTCATGCATGCATGCGGAGGCGACCATCATCGTGTCACAGAAAACGCGCCACAATATGTGGCTTTGAACCTGTAAACTCACAATTGCAAAGTCTAACATAACAGTCAGTCTATTAGAACCTGAATTTGAATGCATATAAGCGTTGGTAGGATAGAACTAAGGATCAATCTAGTTCGTCCTCTATGTAGTGGGCTCGCGCTTACTAGAGAGTATATGGAAGCTTTATGTTGTTAGGAAAGGGGCTGAGAATTGAGAAATCTAGGACTTTTCACGTAAGAACATGTTACACGATCTATCGAATGGATTTTATTGGTGGAAATGTTAGGTTCATGTATGGAATAAAATACTTAGACAAATCTACCATCTGGGGGAGCATCTCGTCTGTGATGATTCCGCTATGAGTTTATTGATCGAGTGTGTCTGACAGTTTTTTTCCAAACGTTTAGCATTTTTGTTTCAATAAAGTCGGTAATAGCATAATGTCCAAAACCAAGAGGTTAACGCTGTTGAGCTTGTGCTCCGGACTATTGAATACACTGACCTGATTTGAGGTAGCCACTTCCTCTTTGGGAAATATGGATCAGCACAAGCTAGAGTACTAGTCACGAGCCAATAAACGGGCAAACAATGTACTCAAGAACGTGTATTATACATGTATATAAACTAAACTTAAACATTAAAACAAACAACAAACAGTATTTTTACACGTGAATATTAATATATCGCATCAATCTGCATCCACGTCTAAACTATTCGTACAACGCTTGTTGCCACCATGCACATCTGTTGTTTGCAGTAGAATCAGTTTGCACACTTCCCAAGCCAGTAGTTCCAAGAACGAGTGTCGTGGCGTTGCTTTGGTATTCTGGGAAGAATGGTACTCCAACCCCATTGGGATTACCTGTCATGGCGAAGTTCATGATGTATCTTTGTAAATCAGCTGCTACGGTAGCGTTTACTGGCAGTCCATCATTTGAGGTAGTAGTATCACCATTGAAAAAAGTGTATGCAATATCTTCGCCGTGAAGTCCCGGTGGAACGGTAAAGTAGTAGGAGTGTGTTTCGTTAAGGAACGCGGTGTTCAGGTAGCGAGTATTGCACGTGAAAACAATTTCGGCTGTGATCAGGGATGCTCGTTCCCAAACACTCGTGTATGGATAAGAACCATTGTAAACTGGTGGGTAAAGGGTTCCTGTCACGTAGGCAAGTGTGGAATTGGATATGGTGGGCAAAGTTGTTGTAAGATCGGTAGCGATATCGGCGTCTGTAGAGAAGAAGGGAGATATGAAGAATGCACCTTCATTAGAATTGTGTCCTGTCATGATCTTGACGTTCGTATCGAATTTGCCCTCAAGAAGTAATTTGGCTGGTAACTCAGGTACAAAGGTACCGTCAACTGCCGGTCCGAAAGTAAAAGTACCATAAGGAGCCGATCGCGCAGTAATGATAGTATTAAGCCCGGCCAGCGTGGCGAAGTCAAGATTTCTCAAATCCGATACGGAGGTAATGTTAGGACCAATAAGTTCTTGTGCTTGAGTGATGACGTTTTGGAAAGTTGCCTCTTGTTGGGCATCTGAGTAAACGGGAGGATAGCCAGGACTTTGTAGAATAGCCTGAGAGAAAGGTGCATTGCCATTGCTGCCACCATATGCTGTAATCTGATGCATGATCGACCCAGCCCCGGCCGATTCGCCGATAACTGTTACTCGATCCGCATCTCCACCAAAGAGGTAAATATACTTTTGTATCCATTCCAAAGCCAATCTTTGATCAAGAAGAGCAGCATTTGCCGCTCCGCTTTCCTCAAATGTGGGACCGGAAAGCCATCCCTATATCTAATCAGTTAATTTCCTCAAACTCAATGAGAATGAACTTACAAAGAGACCAAGTCTGTAGTTTAGAGCAACATAAATTACACCTTCATCCCCATTCTCTTGACTCCTCGAAATCAACGTGGCCGGGTTCCCTGAACCAAATTTTGATCCGGCGACATAACCACCTCCATATATCCAAACAATAACGGGGGCGTTACTTTCACCGCAAGAATCGTAGATAGACCTTGGGACAATGACATCGAGGAACAAGCAGTCCTCTGAAGTCAATGGTGCTGGCGCGGAGAGTCCCGAGATGGTAAGATTCTTCTCGACTGCCTCTACTTCTGCCTCGACAAATTCCAAGGTAGCTGTATTAGCACCTTGAAAATAGTACGAAGCAACTTCTTCCCAATAAGGTGTTCCCTGCGCACAGATAGCACCCTGCTGGCCATCATTGATAGTTCGGTCTACTTCAGTCGGTTCGATCGGAGCGGCAAATCGAAGATTTCCTATAGGCGGGGCTGCATATCGAATATTCGAGAAGTTGTAGTACTGTCCTGTCTCCTGTAAATGTATTTAGCATCCACTCCAGAACGTGATTGATTTGAGACTGCCTACGTTTATCGTAGCCCGGTGAAGTGCGTAGTCAAGATCAACGACGGGTAGGGAATCATTGGTGGGCAAAGCGTAGGCAGCTTGAACTGCACAAGCAGCAATCACAACGGCCTTGATTGCAATCATCTTAATTTTCAGAAAGGAGGCAATTTGCAATGGAGCAAACGGCACAATTTTTTTTGGAAGAAGGGAAGCCATCTCGTATATATAGAACTCAAGTGAGCGTGCGACGGTACTCTTCTTCGTTACCTCGGTGGCTTATCGACCAACAGGTGTTTTGGCGCCGAAAACTATATTAATTACATTGTTGCAAGTCTGCAAAGGCTTGCCATATACTTGATATTCGGAAATGAGCATTTAATCGGTGGGCTAGCAACCGGCGGGGGAAACTGGAAACTGGGATAAAGACGTTATGAAGATCTTAGGGGCTGTCATCCAAAGAATGGAGATGGGACTACCTGGTACCTAGCCACTCATAGCTAAGGGCTCATCGGGGAACCATCCCTTTAGAGATGTGCTTTGAAATCCATTTCAGGGATAAGGACAATCTAGTCCGGGGAGAAAGGAACATTCTATCGAAGATCTCACTCGTATAGAGCTGAGAGTGACATGTCTACGCATTCATATTACACGCGAGATCTACATTGAGAGGAAGTTGCGAAGTCTAAGGGTACCTAGGTTGCTAATGCATTCCCGATTCGTATACACACGAGCACTGAGTAATCAGGTTTGTACAATTTCGAGAGATGGCCCATTTTATTTTGTGTCTACAGTCCTCCGCACGCGTAAATAAACAAGTTAGAGGTTTCCATGGATCGCAAGCAATTTCGATAAGAACATCAAGCAAGGATACGAAGGTCACACCAAAAGCTTGTTATCGCTTGTCTCGGGATCTAGGATTGTACCGTATCGTTTCGACGTGATTATATCATTGGACGACGGCTGCGGCTCATGAGAGCGAACTGTACTTTGGCAGCTCAGCCTTACGCTCGAGCCACAACCTCATTCCGTCTCCTTATTCAACCAAGAACAATTGTTTTACCAAAAAGCCTTATACACTTCTTGATGCGAACTATTGACCCCGCGCATTATGTCTACAATTGCTCAACCTCGAGAAAGCTCCGTTAATGGGCGTCGCGTTCCTTTACTCACCACACCTACTTCCTCAACACGACCGAGTCTAGACCATTCCCGTTCATCTGAACCATCTCCGAATCGAGGATCCTCAGTCGCGATACCTCGACGCAACCGTGCCGCTTTGCGAGAATATTACAACCTCAGAAAGGGACAAGACGCTCCTACTGACGATGCGGCATCCGAAGTTTCCTCAATACACTTTGATAGTGAGGTACAAGAATGCGAAATGGACAAGGATGGATTCGATGGGGAGAAATATGTGAGGGAGGTTCTGGAAAAGCAAACACTGGGAGAGCTATTACGGACCTACAATGGAGTTTTGACCGATATAAGGGCTCTAGACGCGGAGAAAAAGGCACTGGTATATGATAATTACAGCAAGTTAATTGCGGCAACAGAGACAATCAGGAAGATGAGGACAAACATGGATCCATTAAATCCAATGGCCAGTACGCTCGATCCGGCTATCGCGAGTATCTACGAAAGGGCTGAAAAGATCAAGGTTGAGTTGAAAGAAGGCATTCCGGAATCACAAAGGAAACTCATGGAGATGGGGGTAGAGGAAAGGGTGACATTTCAGAAGAAACAGAACATGAAGAAGCTTGTGCTTCAAGTACTGGAGATACCTGAGAAGCTGAGATCATTGGTAGCGAAGGGTAATGAAGACGAAGCTAGATTGGAATGGGAAAAAATCTCAGCGTTGTTGAGAAGATGGAAAGAGAGAGGTGTAGGGGGAAGCGACGTGCAGGACTGTATAGAAGACGGGGAGGCAGCCTTGAGGGGCGAGCCTCCAAATGAGAAGAGCTGGGTTAACATAAGAGCAAAGAGATCATCATGACAGCGATAGTATCATCACAGCACAGCAACGACAGCACGACAGCATAACGGCAACATTTTGAGAGTATAACGAAACCGTACTGACATTGATAGCACGACAGCATACGAACTATTATTGTTTATCAGGAACACAAGCAGACAATTATTCGTATGAACTTGCAAGGACACCCACTATCCTACCAGTTCACCTCATCCTTGTGAATTATATCAAAGGGATCCCTATCAACCTCACTTACCGCGATATCCGCTTTTCCCTCCATTGCCTGCGCCAATGCAGACTGCATTCGGTCCTTTAGATAGGCTCTTTCAGTGTTGCTATGGAATGCAGTGACAACACATTTACCCTGCTCAACGGCTGCCAAGGCTTCGTGGTGGCTCAATTCGCCAGTGAATAATAAGTCAACGTCCAAGCCGTTAAGCATGGATCCTCCTGATCCGGCGCAAATGCCAATGGAAGAAATTTCAATAGATGACTTTTCTCCTCTAGGAATGGATTGTGGAACCGCAACGGAAAGTCCGGACATACGATCTCCAAT